TGGTTTATCCAAAAATCACAGAGCCAGAAAGTGACAAATGTCCAACCCTAAGACCTACAGCCTTGAAAATAAGGATAGGAAATCCAGCTCAGAGTGTGTGTCCGAAATCATTCTCTTTCTTTTTGCCTTCTACAAGCTTTTCTAACTAAATTAAACAACAACAACAACAACAACAAAAACCCATGCATTTTATAGCACAATCAACTATCTAAATAGCCTCAGAGTTGGTAAAAAGGACTCCTTGTATTCAGATTTGAAATGGGCTAGGTCAGCTGATTCTCTATGTAACTAAATGTATACTGTGATCGAACATGTGACACTCAGCATGGATCCCTTTCTGTAGCTTTACTTGACATTAATGGATATAAATGAAGACCAGCATTCTAAGTACCTTTGGCAAGACATTTTCCAGCTCAGGCTCCCTTTGCCTGGGAAGCATTTACCACCTTAACTGCTATGTTGGGTGTAGTGTGTACCAAAGTAAAGATAGTCCCTGGAACAATGGGGTCAAAATGAATATTAGTTCTGGTCTATCCCAAAGCCAGATTTTTAGAGTAAACATGAATCTGAGAGGTTGTACATATACCAGTTTATGTGCAATGTTTCCACACTTTAAAGTACATCCAAACACGGTGTCTTCAGAGATTATGAAAATTTTATTAACAAAGAAAATCCGCATGATACACATCCCATTTAAAAACAACCACCGCAGACACAGAGGTGACAACTGTTTTCTATTCACTATTTTGTCAATGCCAGAAGAATGAAATCACAGCATCAAAGCACAGACCGATATTTTTGAAGGGGATAATCATTGAGATAATAAGTTACTAGAAAATCAGAAGAAACAAATCAAGATATTCATTTTATAGGCTGTTCCACTGAGTCTTTATCCAAATAATGTTTCCTCTGTAAATATACTTGGCTATCAGCTCTTTTTAAAATTATCCTGAATATACAGTGTACATCTAAAAAATGATAGAGTTATTTGAGGATAATAAGTACTGAGAGCCAACATGACTTTTAGAAATGTATATTACATAGCAATAGCCCAGAGATAATTTCTATAAAAGGTCAAGGTATACTTCCCAATAGGGTGTGATCCATTTAAGTTCTTTTCTGATTTTATTTTTTCTTTATTGTGTGTGTGTGTGTTTAATTGATTTCAGAGAGGAAGGGAGAGGGAGAGAGATAGAAATATCAATGATGAGAGAGAATCATTGATCAGCTGCCTCCTGCATGGCCCCTACTGGGAATCAAGCCCACAACCCTAGCATGTGCCCTTGACCAGAATCAAATCGACCCTTCAGTATGTAGGCCAATGGTCTATCCCTGAGCGAGGGGGTGATTTTCTTTAAATACTGCTCACTGTTGTCCTTCAAAATTTCCTTTGTATACCCTCTACCCAACCCTTTACTAAAGACCTATAAACATATTCAAGATATACTGCATGCAAAAAGGGAAGTACCCTATATAATAAAATCTTAATATGCAAATTGACCAAACAGCTGAATGACTAGTCACTATAGCGTGTACTGACCACCAGGGGGCAGATGCTGAAAGCAGGAGTTGTCCCCTAGTCGTCAGTGCGCTCCCACAGGGAGAGCACCGCTCAGTCAGAAGCCAGGCTCACGGTGGTGAGTGCAGTGGAGGTGATGGGAGCCTCTCCCATATCTCTGGCTGCGCTAAGGACCCCTTGGGGTCCTGAACTGCAAGAGGGTACAGGCCGGGCTGAGGGGAACCCCCCTCCAATGCATGAATGTCGTGCACCGGGCCTCTAGAAAGAATAATAAAATATTCTGATGTCCTGGACATGAACAGAGAACATATACATAATGGGTCCTAGCTATCAGAACAAAAACATTTCTTGGGAACCCCCTCAAGAAAGAATATAGACTTTTAATCCAAAGAAGGAGAAAAGTTAGGCCTGTGACTTGACTACAGTTTCTAGGGCCTAGTGTAACTATATTTTTAGGCCTGGCTCCAAGGAGCTGCCTACACAAATTTGGATGGAGCGGGGGAGGCACAGATGGTGGTCATGTGAAGGCACAGACTGATCAAGTGGGCTTGGTTACAAAGTTGGTACATTTAGGCTGCTGTATTCCTCCTATTTCAAGTACTGCCAAGTCCAGGCTGTTTCCCCTCTTTCCAAAGTCTTGATTCATTTAATTCTCCTGAAGGAGGTGGAAGAGGAGGAGGATTGCACAAATCTAAGTGTTTTATGGCTTAGAGGAGACAGTCACCATCTTGGCTTCCTGTCAGATTTTAAATGTAACATTTTGCTAAGTGTAAAGCTGTGTGTCTGTTCCTTTTCTGTTGCTGTTATCAGAACTTCAATATTTGCAAAACAGAAACTCAAAATACTTCAAATCAAGCCCAAAGCAGTTTGTTATTCACGTAACACAGTTCTTACACGTATCAATACACAGTGGGTTCACAGAACAGGCATCTTTTCTTTGCTTCTTTCTTTTCCTTTCCTTTTGTTCCTTTTTTAACTTACAACTTTCATTTCTTTGGTCATGTAAGAATGATTTGATTACACAATAGCAAAATCCCCATTATATATATATTTTGATTATTATCAAGCTTATCACCATGTCAGTTCTTACTGGTTGCATTATTTAGAAAAAGCAAGCCCATCAGCTAAAGTATTCTGCTATTTGAAATACCCTGTAAATCTCTTGTAAAGCATAGAGCACCTTAGTGATGTGCAGAATTCTAATTTTTGAATATAAAAATCTGTAGTGTTTGCTATAAAACATTGTTAAAGGTATTCAGGGTGTGCTTCCAGTGGTACTGAACTCTTAGGAATTAGCATTAAAGCACTAGTTTCTCACTATTTAAAGAACAGCAACCTTCAACATTTCAGATTCTCAGTCTTTTTCTTCTTTATAGGGAACACTGTCAAAATCAAAATGGATTTAATTATAGAGATTTTTAAAATCGGACACAAAGTATTTTTCAGGTCATCATCAGGATGCTTGGTTAGGTCCATGTAATTCTTGCATGTGGTCAAACATCTGCTCCAGAGTCTTATCCTTTAATCCCTCAATATGCCTTCTTGGCCTCAGCTAGTGTATAAGAAGGCCATTTTCAAAAGGCAAGTGAATACATTAAAAGTTTTTAACATCTGTTAATCAGGTGTTTTATCTGGAGGACATAAAAGATAGTTATAATTCTCCAACTAATTGACTTAACGTTTTTCTTTTTATTTGTCTTTTTTTCAAATATACTTTTATTGATTTCTGAGAAGAAGGGAGGGGGAAAGAGAAATAGAAACATCATTGATCAGCTGCTTCTGCGTGATCCCCACTGGGGATCTAGCCAGTAATGAGGCATGTACCCTGACTGGGAATCCAAACCATGACCTCCTGGTTCATAGGTCAATGCTCAACCTGCCAGGCTTGTCTGGGTATTTACATTGGGTAGAAATCAACACTATTATCACCATCAGTATAATTATTCATCTGTCTTCTAAGGCAGACAAGAAAATGTTTTTCTTATAGGGTAGAATTTCATAATTAGTAAAGTTTATAAGCAATATGGAGAGGCAACTTAAACTCAATTATTATCTTGAATTTCAATAGAGCATAATAAGAGAAAAAGTTCTTGGTAACATTCATGCTGCATGAATTTGCATTCCGAGACCCTTCCTTAAAACACTGACATTGTTCCAAATTTAACAATAACAATAACAGGGAACTTGTGCTTTTTTATGTCAGTTAATTAAAAACAAAAGCAAAAACTACCTCCAAGTCCATGTGCAAATGCTCAATCAAAGAAGGACTTCAAAACTTTTTAGTCTCTAAGTTTCACTGTGCATACAAATCAATAATAGGATTGCATATCAAATACAGTTTTGTGAATGAAACACATGGGCATTACCCAAAAGTACTTAGCTGCCAAGAGAGACACTTCACAACCGATCCCAAATGTGTTATTTGTATAACCATTCCTGTTACAAATGCTCTTGTTTTTGTTTAGATGAGTATATTTAACCTGCGCTATTAATAAAATTGTTTCCTCCCTTATACAGCAAGAAACCATCTTTTGGCCTCTCCTCTGTGAGAGTCACGTCTCCTAACACCGACTGTGCTGCCTAAGTTCAGCTAGGGGCTTGTTAAATAGACTTCTGAGCATAATTATAATGAACAATTAGCTAGAAATTGGTTGTAATGATTTGTTGTAGATGATAGAATAGAAGCATAATGTGATTATTGTAGGCCTTCTACATCATTAAGAATACAACTACTACCAACTTTCAATTATGGAGGCGCAGACAATCACCTGAAGCATTTAGCAAGCGATCTACTTACAGAGCGAAGCCCAGGCAGCTGAGGAGAGAAGGCTGCCGCCCCCGCCCAGGTGTTCATAATTATTGACTTTTGCAAAAGTCTCTTCCTTTCCTACTAGGCTGCTTTCACTTGTTTCAGGTCTCGAAGATATCTCTACCACGGAAAATAGAGAGTCCACCTGGCCGATCAACTTTTTCCCCTGCCCCTGTCTTTCCCCCAGGCACAGTGAGGACTTCCTGGTGGAAGGCAGGAGGGCCTGGAAAAGATTCTACAAAATTGAGCATGTGGGCCTGAAATGGCAATTCGCACCACCAAACTAGACTAACAGGAAAGAAGATTATACAAGTAATGGATAAATTGAATATAAGGAATAAACTCCAGACTGTGAAGATAAATCTATGCTATCCTTTCCCTATTCAGTGTCCTTTTACTGTCCCAAAATCAATTTGGATCTCTTTTTTTTTTTTCATAAGAATTTATAAAAAATACTATAGAAAACTTGAAGAAATAATCTTTCATTTTCTGAAAAATATAAAAATATTCGTTTAGAACCATGAATACTAGTTATTGTCAGAGTTTTTTACTATCTTCTTTCTTTCTTTCTTTCTTTCTTTCTTTCTTTCTTTCTTTCTTTCTTTCTTTCTTTCTTTCTTAACCTCAACTAGACAGTGTGCTGCATTTCTCTCCCATCTTTGAGCAAGAGTGTTAGACTTTTTGCTGCTGGCCTTCAGAAGTTGTGAGGGAGTACATCCTGTCACCCACATAAAAGACCTGGTACCTGTGCTTCCACATCACAAAACAGGCCAATAGGCACACAAGGCCAGACACCAAGTTAAGAATCATCTGGGTGAGTAAGAACACTTTGAAAGTGAAAGTGATGTTGGTGCAGTCAGTCACATCCTGGTACACAAAGGTCCTGCTGAGGGGCTCGGAGGTGGGCAGTTTGCAGTGGCAGGCGTCGAGTGCAGTCTCACAGGTAACCCGGTTGAGCAGTGTATAGTGGTGGGCAGCAAAGGCTGCGGCCAGCACACAGACCATCAAACCCAGGGCGCTCAGCAGAAAGTACAGCAGCTGCAAGAAAGCAGAAGAAAACCTTTCTGGTTACAAAGTACATTGAATGACTTGAGAAAGCTAATAAATAGAAGCTGTTGTTGTTTTTTTCTTCTCTCCCAGAAAGTTCCCTGACAAAGGAGCTCCTCAGAAACCAGTTCCCAAGACATGGAAGTGGCTCCACGTTGGTCAGTAAGCAATCCTTAAATGCTCATATTTTCATTTGTCCTACAGATGTTGGGCGCTTTTCATGAACGGAGCTGAGGATATTAGCTTGACTATGGCTGCTTGTGTATGGATATAGCAAACAGCTTCGATGAATCCCAAACACAAGAGGCATCTCTGAAAGGCATGGATTCTTTGGATCTTCTCATCAAAGCTATCTTAACCTTGCACACTATTTCTAATTTTCAAATATTTTGAAGGATTATAAAAAATAATCCATGTTTCTTCACCTGTGAAATAGTTTATTGAAACCTTTTACATCTCAGGCATATAACAAGAGTAATTTATATTCTGCACATTTATTCTCCCTTGGAGAAAGGGAGCCAGATAAATCCAAAATGGCACCTTCACAAAATTTAAGAAGGAAATAGTTAATTTGTGCTATTAAATGCCATTGCCTTGGTCCAAGCCCCAAGATTTTCAGTGGCTATATTTCCTTCCATCACTGGCATACTTAGGCTAAAAAGTGTAGGTTTATTTTGAGGGATCATTGGGACAGGATATTTGAAATATTCTGGGTTGTTCTAGAATATTCCAGCTTGATGATTGACTTTAAATTCTTGGTGCCAAGAGCCAAATTAAATTGTGCCAGCCATGTTGGTACTCATTGCAGCTGCCTTTCCAATGCAGCCAACACAGAACTTGGAATTATTTGCTCTGGGAACATGGGTACATATATGACTTTACCAGGGAAGGCTCAAATAAAAGAGATAATCTGCCACCTGAGGGTCATATATTTAGTAGGATGGTCCAAAATTGAGTTTTCTCTACATAAAGATTTGCCCAAGCCGAAACCGGTTTGGCTCAGTGGATAGAGCGTCAGCCTGCGGACTGAAAGGTCCCGGGTTTGATTCCAGTCAAGGGCATGTACCTTTGTTGCAGGCACATCCCCAGTAGGAAGTGTGCAGGAGGCAACTGATCAATGACTCTCTCTTATCGATGTTTCTAACTCACTATCCCTCTCTCTTCTTCTCTGTAAAAAATCAATAAAAAATATATTTTAAAAAAAAGATTTGCCCAAGACATTTAATATGTGTACAGCAATAGTTGGTGATGGTTAGGAGCATGGACCAGGGCACTAGACTGCCTGAGTTCAAATCCCGGTTCTCCCCTCACTGGCTATGGACTTTGAGCTCATTAAACAATCCCAAGTGTACCTCAGTTTCTTCATTTGTAAACTTGGAATGATGATCATAATAACTTCCCAGGATTATTATAAGAATCAAAAGAGTTGGTATCTGTAAAGGGCTTAGAAAAATGTCTGGTGCATAGTAACACTATTTAAGTATTTGTGAAAGAAATAAACAAATTAGAGATATAAACAGTTGTCAGATCTCAGGACTCAGGCCATCAACTCTACTGGCTTTGTTTTATTCCCTGTCATGTGGGAGGAACGGGGCAAACTGAGCTTATAGGAAGGATGTAAACATTTAAACACTGCGATTGCTCCGTTTTCACTGAGCATCTCCAATGTGCTCACAGCCAGCCCGGGAGAGCACAAACCCTGGTCAGCGGTGCAAACCTCACACATTGGAATTCTGTGTCTCCCACTCCCTGAAAGCATCGGGCCAAGTAAACAACAGGAGTGAGAGCCGCAGCATCAAGTTTCTTATCCATCTTAAAACACAAATGTAGACTTGATCCCCCAAAGCCTGTGGGCTACGTCTGCAGCGCTGTAGCATTTTTTTTTTTTTTTCCTTTGTGGCTTGAGCTCATCTGACAGCAACAAGCTTCTGGGTTAGAATCTGTCACTTAAAATCCAGGGGCTTGTTTTGCCTACCCGGCGCGAATACACTATCAATGAAAGTGTTTACGATGACCTTGGGAATGCGAGCAAATATCTTTTGATAAAAGCCCGGCTGGGGACGCATTAGTCTGCGGGTGTGGTGCGTCTGGAGCTGGGCAGCAGCTGATGGAGGCGCGGTGGCCCTGGGCGCTTATGTAACCGAGCCTCCTGCGCTGCTGCTTCTCCTCGCGCTGCTGCCTCTAATTGGTACCCGGCTGCAGCTTCAACGTTTGGGAACGACAGGGGGAGGGAGTTTCGGCTTCGATTTAATTACCTTCCCCGGAAGGCCCCTCTACAGCATGCTGCCTAGGAGATGGCAGCTGCAGCCCAGGGGCCTCGGGGATGAGGGCAGGAGCCAATGTGCCTTAAACGCCCTTGTGGGGATGTGGCCCCGCCGCCGAGCTCCTGCAAGCACATGAATCAGACACGTTTCCCAAAATCCTCAAGGTGAGCCTCTAGAAAGCCGGGCCACTAGGAACCGCAGGAGGCCCCAATCCACGAGGGAATGGCCTGCCAAGCCCAGGGGCCCGTGGGAGAAAGAAAGAACATGATGGTGGCGCCCAGGGTGTGCCAAAGGGCCTCTGGAGAAGACTGGGTGTGCCAGCTTGAGATGAAAAGTGGCTATTGTATCTTAAGAAAAAGTGTGAGTGTGTGTGTGTGTGTGTGTGTGTGTGTGTGTGTGTGTGTGTTTGCGTGTATGCAGGCTACATCAAGGTATCAGGGTCTTCCATAGGAGGAAATTCATTCTCAAAGCTAAGGCCTGGGCTTCCATGCAGGGGCACCAAAATGTGGTTATGCCAGTGAAGACCACCACAGGAAAGATGTATTTCATTCCTCTCCTCCATCCCCCACCAAACGGTGTGAGACGCTCAGGGGAAGTCTGCTGTAACCTGTGGTGGCTTTGGAAAGCCTTGCGATTGCCTGAAGATCGTTTTCTAACAGAAGATAATACAGCGGGCATCTGAGAGAGCTGGCAGGAAGAAGCATCACTGAGGGTCACCGGGAGGAGAAAAGCGCCTCAGTATCTGTCAGTGTCTGTCACAGGTGGGGAAAAAGACAGCTAATGAGACGCTCCTGGTGGGAATTCTCAGCCTGGCTGACCTTGGCAGTGACATTTTTTTTTTCCTTGCTCCTTATTTTACCTGCAGATGTTGGGAAGGCTTTGGAGGACTCTGGGAAGCTGATGCTTTTGCCTCTGCTCTTTCTAGGATCATCTGGGGAGGGATGAGGGCCTTTCACACTCTATGATGAATCCAGGTGAAAGCATTTTTTTACCTGGTGGATGAAGTCCCTGTAATTTAACAGGCCACTTCTTACGAGGCTCTCCGGCTTTTTGCTTTTTTTTCTTTTTTTCTTTTTTTTTTTATCATCACCAAGCCTTGCCTTACAAAAAAATAAACATGGACTGATGCCTGCTTTATCTGGTCCTTTTAAGGGACACTCTCAGAAAAAGTAAAATTTCTAACTGTAGGCATATCCACCAATATTTTTTTTAAGTAGCATCCATTAAATTTTTTAATTGGAAAAAATAATGTCTAACTGGAGGACATTTCAAAATTAGAGAAAAAACTACAAAATGCAGCTATCATCTCACCACTCATAGACAACAATTTTTTTTAGCACATAAGAGCTCATTTCTTTCTGCAGGATCATGCTGTACATTTTGTGTGGCCTGTTTTTGCAGTTAAAATAATGTGAACTTTTTTTTCACTCAAATAACTACCCTTTTTCAACATTATATATGTACATATATATCAACACACTGCTTTTTCTTATGCCAGCAGCTCTAATTATACTAGAATATACTATCATCTTATTTTCTGCGTCTTTGTAATTTCCACATAATATAGTTAACTTGCTCTTATGCCTTATGCTTTCTTGTTATAGTGAACAAAAGAGTCTCCAGTTTTTATGTATTTTCTTGTAGAAGAAAAGTAAATGTGATGTGAGTAGACAAAAAAAAAATACAGAAAGCTTTTTTGTTCTCTGCTATAGCTGTTGAAAGAAAATGTAGGAATTGGATTTCTACTCACTCTGGTTGCTGAGTTGGGTGTTTATCTCCCTCAACTCTGAAAGGGTGTGTCCATGTTTCCTTTTAGAGTGGATTCTATGTGCAGTGGAAACGCTGTGCATTTGAACCGGCTCCAACCGGGCACACTGTCTCTTAACAGAGGAAAACTACATGCACATATAGGACACACACATACTTGCTAAACCATGCACATCCCAACTCCCTGTTCCCTTTGCCCCCGGACTCTTGGCACAGATCATTTGGATGCACCCAATGTGCTTTTTCTGCTTTAGTGACCCTGCCTACAAGAGGAAATACGCTTAGACTGCTTTGTTATTAGAACATTTGAAATAAACCCCAAGATATGGAAGTGGGCACTGATCTAGGCATCTTTTCCCTGGCAAAGTGTTTTTGCTGAACTGATGAATTTTCAATATTCCTTTTAAGGGCATTGAAAGGCAGACTTCATACGCCAACCCAGTTCATGGAAATTAAGACTTAAAAAAAAAAAATTAAGCATTACATTTGAAGTCTGGATCAATGCCCTCCTAAAACATTTTTTGGCCTGCCTAAAAATGCAATTTCTGGGATAATCAGATATGCAACCCCTTAAAAAAGCACTCCTTTATTTTGTACTTGGGTTTCTTTCTATGTGACAATAAAAGGAAAAGAAAAATGACAACTTACTTTCATAATAAACTGGATACATGTCTGTTCATCAACTTGATATGAGACACAAAGCATAAACAAACCAAGGTAGGCCACTAAGCAGACCTGCAATGGAAAACGGGGGAGAAAGGATGTTATCAGGGCAAACCTTGCATTCTAACAGCATCAGTCTCAGTGTCTTCCACCAGAAATGTCCTTCTGATCCAGGTGTTCATTTCATTTACTTATCTTTACTTGCTATGTGTCTCAGCTTGTGGAATTGAGTTTTTTTTAAAATAGTAAAATCAGTTTAGCCGGGATTTATTAAGTCCTTTTGATGTGTCAGGTGCTATACAAAGTCCTTCAGAGCATCCGACGATGAATCAAAGTTCCTCAACCTCAATAAGTGTACAGTCCAGTCCAGTGCACACACTATTCTGGAGCAGGGCATTATATGTCAGATGCTATTCAGAGATGGACAAAAAGAGGGAAAAATAACATTGAGTTGGACAATTCACAAAGGCGTCACTAAAGAGGTAGATTTGAAATGGCCCTTGAAAGGGATGATGATCATAATCATGATCACTAACACTTACTGAATTCTGACTTTGTGCTGGGACTCTTCTAAGGGCTTTGTATGGATTTCTTCACAGAATTATCACAATCCCCTCGTAAGTAGGCGCTAATCGTCATATCATAAACAAAGAAACAGAAGCACAAAGCTAGTCAAGAATGAAGCCAGCACTTGAACCAGGTAGCTGGAGCGAAACAGCATGAGCATTAGTGCAGAGGCGGGATCTCACAAATTGTGTGGAAAGAGCAGCCAATGTGTACCCAAAGTTGAAATAAAAAAATATATACAGCTCCCTAAAAAAAAAAAAAAAAAAAAAAAAAGACGACTAAAACATGGAACCATCAGAAAAGGTAGGTTACAAATCTGGTGTTGTAAGATTAATTTAGTATGTGGTGGCGCTCCCTTGAAAACTTTTGAGCAGGAGAATGGCATAATTCAAGACATGTTTTAGGAAAATAAGCAGTGGTGTCATGTCAAGTGGGTTAGCAGTGAGAACATCAAGATATTATTTTACTAATCGAAGCAAGATTAATATGCCAGGTGGGACAGGGCTCAGAGGGTGGCAGGCAGAATCCGAGAAAGAGGCAGAAAGGAAAAATGTAGCAAAAGCAGAAGCTGTACATCTTAGCTATAGCATGTCAGGGAGGACCCTGGAGAGGGAGAAACAGCGACTCCAAGCTCTTGAGTGTCAGTGATGGAAAGAGAGGGGGTGTGCTTGGATGGAAGATGGTTGGCAGGAGGAATGGCAATTTTGAGGGAAAAAAGATACCGGACTGGAGAGTCAAACCAGATTTTCTTGTTAGTGGAGCTTTTGAAACCACGTTTTTAGCGTTTATAATCAATGCATATCTCTTCACACTCAATTTTGGAAACCTTAAAATGTTGCTAAGTTCTACTTTAAGATGGAAAATATAAGCAACGGTACTGCATTTTCTGGTAAGTACAATTTTCCTAGAGGCAGATGTTGGAAGGGTGACTGAGAGTCACCTAGCAAGTCATCACATAACTAGTTTGGTGATATTCATAATTCTGCCCCTAGGGCCTCCTTCAAACCCTAGACCATTCCTGCTAGGGAGGCAGAGCTGTTGACTTACAAGCCAACACACCATTTTAAGGTAACACCTCTATCCTATTCACCCTTTGATTACAAACACATTAAGTTGTTTGTGCCCTCCTGGGTTCCCAAGTTGAGAGTTTCTATTGGGCCATGAGACCAAAAGCCACGCCTCTGTAGTGGAGGCATTTGCAAGGTTTTTCATCATTAGGACTAGCTGCATGGCTTAACAGCAGTAGATAACATGCATAGTGGAGAGACTCAGACTTAAAATATGTGAGCACGGTATGGACTGGAGAAGTCCAGGTAGGAAGCAAAGCAGACAGGACCCACAGAGGCAGGTGTCCAGCAGAGGACTGGAAGATTTGGAAATAACGACAGTGAAGTTGTTTGTGTAGCCACACTGTGGGTGAGGCTTTCAAGTTAGGGATGAAGTTCTTTCTCAGAACTCATTTTAAACATATATATAAGTGAGGTATGTGTTTGATAAAGACTGTAAAGGCCTGCTATGTATTCTCACATTAAGAATTTATAGAACAGCCTTAACCGGTTTGGCTCAGTGGATAGAGTGTTGGCTTTTGGACTTAAAGGTCCCAGGTTCGATTCCAGTCAAGGGCATGTACCTTGGTTGCGGCCACATCTCCAGTAGGAGGTATGCAGGAGGCAGCTAATCAATATTTCTAACTCTCTATCCCTCTCTCTTCCTCTCTGTAAAAAAGCAATTATATATATATATATATATATATATATATATATATATATATATATAGAGAGAGAGAGAGAGAGAGAGAGAGAGAGAGAGAGAGATAGATATAGATATAGATATAGATATATATTAAATTTACAGAACAGAAACAATGGGGAAAAGAGCTTCTAAACCTACTTCTAAGGTTGTCAAATCCCTAAGTGCTCATATGCTCCCTATTAGTGTCTGTCTGTAGGTGCATGTGGTCAGGCTTTCTCCCACATCTCTCACTTTGTCCCTCGAGGCTGCTGTGCCTAAGTTGGCAATTGCCAAGATTTCTTCTTTGTGTTTCCGAGAGACACATTCCAATAATCAGGCCTCACCGAGTAGCATCTTAGAAATCTGACTCTGTTCCTTGTTTGAACACATTTTCCCATTCCAATAGTATCTACTCTGTAGTCTTAACCTAGGCTGCTTTCCAGAAAGAGGTTGCACAGGAGCTTATGACCTCATTGCAAAGGACTTCACTTAGTCAATAGACTGACGTTTTTTGAGGACGTGCAATAGCCAGACCCTGGGCACAACTCTGGGAACTGAGGTGAAAAGATACTGTCAGCCTTCTAGGCGCTCTCAGCCCCGTGAGAAAAGAGAGAAAAAGAAAGTCACAATCCTGTATGAGTACTAGGGCCCTGTCTGCTGGGATACACCGAAGGGTGATTAACCCAAGGATAACCTGGGAAAGCTTCCAGGAGGAAGATGGGTTTTGAAGGATAAAAAGAAATTAGCTGGAAGAAGGAGGTGAGGAAGCATAGAGAGAGTAGTTACAGATACAAAAGCATTGAGAAACACAGAAAAAAAAAAAACATGCATGACTCTGACAGCTCCAGTTCAGAGGGTAAGAGAAGAGACAACAAAAATGTATTCACAGAGATGGACAGGAAGTAGGTAGGACACAAAGGACTGTTAGTTCATTTGAAGCATCGGAAGGAAATGATCAACTCTGACTTTTAAAATGGTCCTTCTGGCTGAGAAGAATGGATTAGGAGAAGAAGACCTGCTAAAAGGCTGCTCGTCTCTGGAGAAACGATGAGTTCCTGAGCTCGGGTAGCAGTGGGGATAGAGGGTGGGTGTGCTTGAGTGACAGACAGGAAGCAGAACACATAGGCTCTAAGGAATGACTAGAGTGAGGGCTGAAGGACCGGGAGGGGCCACGCAGGTGCTGGCTACCTAACCTGAGTTGCCATGTGGATGGTGTTGAAATTTAGTAAGTCTTGAGACACAAGAGGAGGAGCAGGATGGGAATGGGAAGTGATGATGCCACGTGGACTCAAAGCTCAGCCACATGAGTCCAAAACTGTGGACCCGTGTGCTCTGGAGACAAGCATTTGTTAGTCATCAGCATTTGTAAAGCAGTAGAAATCATCAGAAACACTGCACCATCCAGAGAAAGTCCAGTGAAAACAGAAAAGGGCCAAGGAAGTTATCCAGTTATGAAGAACCTTTAACCCTTTTGAACAGGAAGCACCTCAAATACATTTCTTATAATCATGCTTGTACATCATGACATGTCTAATTATTATAAAACTAATCATCTTTTGGATTTTTATTTTATTATTTTTAAATATGTTATGTATTAATTTTAGAGAGATGGGGAGAATGAGAGAAACAGCGATTGAGAAAGAAACACAGATAGGTTGCCTCCTATATGTACCACAGTCAGGGATCAAACCTGTTAATCTGGGCATGTGCCCTGACTAGGAATTGAACCAGCCGACCTTTCAGTACACAGGGTGATCTCAACCAACTGAGCCACACCAGCCAGGGCTTCTTTTAGATTTTTTTAAAGTTTCACTTCTAGGTCTCTTTGTATATGGTATTTGCTATAAAGCCTTATTAATTCAACATACTTCAATTTCTTGGTCTTGTGATAGGGCTCAATAGAATATAGGAGGTGGTATTTCATTTTTTTACCTACAGCTTTGCCTAATAAGACAATACCTTTCTATTTATTAAATCCTTAAAAATGAAGTCTTTATGGTCACGAGGAGGAAACCAGATTTCTCGTGCCACACTGAGGGTCTTGTTTCCTGAGCTGGCAGAACGTGGGCGCCCCGGGGAGACAGTGTTCTGGCTTCCCAGGCTGGGGAGGGAGAGCTCATGGTAATGAGCAGTGAGACCCGCCAGCCCGATTTGGAACAACATTCCTGGATTCTGGGCCAGAGCTTCCATTCGATATGATGCACGAGGCCCGCAGAACAGAAAAAAGGCAGTTTACTATGTAAGGTTTTCAAGAAGGCATTTGTCGGACCAGGCCTGGGGCAGACAGGTGGTGTCACTGAGCGCAAAGCCATAATATGACCTGGGTGACATCAGGAAAACCAGTGCTGAAGGAAGGGCTGCGAGCCTTTAAGAGCTTGCTGAAATTTAGTGCATGATCAGATGGATAATTATGTTGTTAATAAAAGCTTGAAGTGCTTTTTAATAGAAAAGAGAAAGTGACAATCACCATCCTTTTCAACCCATTTTTGGATGCACATTTCTACCATTTGTTTAGGGTCAAAAGAACTAAGTCTTGGATTCTGCTTCCTGGATAAAGATATTCTTTGTCTGCTCAGTGGGAAGACTGCATTTTCTCTTGCGAGTTAGGAAGTTAAACAGGGCTGAAATGTTCTCTGAATGTTAAACCCATCTCTAGATGTCGGAGTTCTGAGTCTTGTCACACACTGGATCTTGTCTTCGTTTTGCTTATATAGCCCTGTCTTTTGAAGGTTAGCATTATGAGTAAAAGGTGAACGCTGGACCAGTGTGTTGGA